AATACATTTATACTCTCGATTGAGCTCGTAGTCAGTCAAAAGAATTTCAAGAGTAAATAATATTAGATATACAACTTTGTTTCCGCAGTTTTATTTCCTAAATTCGAGGATTTATTGTAAAGAATTGATTATACATTTATGATTTAAAGTATTATCCATCGATGGTCACTCTTTCTCCTATCTTTTGAACATCGTACGACTTCCACGTTGAAAAAATATTTTATCTCTTGGAGCGATCCGCGAATCGATGCAATTTTGTCCTTCTTTATAATACCGGAAGTACTGGTCAGCTAGGTTATGAGGTATTGATGGAAACAAGTGATAGTCGGAGGGAGAAACGTTTGCAGAATACAACGGGGTGGGTAGGTCTTCCCATATCAACGTATCCAAGAATGTTTTGACCATTTCAGAAACATGGGGTCAGGAATTTTCATCCTGCAAAGTTACTTTATCGTGTCTCTCGTTGTATTTCGGCCGTTTGTCTTTCAATGCTCGACTGAAACGCATTAATTGCATTCGATAACGATTGCCTCTGATTGTTGACACAAGTCTTCATTAAATAATACTTCCAATTCTGCATTTTCGAAAACTTTCATACTTCCATCGCTCAGCCGGTCTTCGACGTGAAAATCACCGTTCTTGAATCATTGAAACCACTCACAAAACATTCTTTCCTTAATAGGGATCTCATTATAAAGGTTTGAGAGCATTCGATGAGTCTCAGCCACAAATTTTTACACATTGAAGCAAAAAATTAAAGCCCTTCGCAAATGACGAGAATTTTGCTCGTAAACTGACATTTTCAATCTAGAACAGCTTGTTGTTAAAACGTAATTCGGATAATGCTTCAATGGAATTATGTTGACAGATGCTTAAGCTTATTGTATAAGGTCTATGATCTACTTATTTCGACCACTAACTAACCGCTAAAACACTCTATAGGAAAACGACGGATGCAAAATTGTAGACCTAATATAAAAAAAATAATAATATAAAATAATATAATAAGAATAATATAAAGAATGATAAGTTGAAATACATATAATAAATAATAATTATAAGGATAATAAACGCAATTAAATTTATACAATACAATATGAGATTAAAAATAAGACTAGATATCAAATGAAGAAAATTATAACAGAATCAAATATAGAGCAGACTGTTAGAAAATCTAATATCAGAAACACTGACGATATCGCTTCTAACAATTAAAGAAGTATAAGAGATGAAATTACCAGATGAAATAGGTTCGTATAGCATTTCGACTAAACCTAGTTATCAGACAGCTGGCGAAAGGGTATCGATCTTTTCCTTCTCTCACGAAGAGGTTTCCATTTTTGGCAACAATGTTCGTCGTTGCCATCGCAATTCTTTCTTAATAAACGAATCGCTTGCTCTCATTTTCTAGTTCTAACTTCATTAGCCTCTACTAGTTGTCGGTTGTCGAATTCGTCGTTATCTAGGGGCTACCTATGATAATATAGATGCATAGTTAGTGATCTTTTTGTTATATTTCATAATATCGAGCCGTGTGACGTCTAAATGCGTCGACTGTCGGATTCTTCTGTCACAATGTTAATTATACTAATTGGAATAATAAATTTGTTACCCTTAGAAAACAAAAAAACATTCATACCATCATAAAAGGATTGTTGTTTAGAGCATTAACAATAGATAATAAACAGTTCCATATTGAAATTAGGAACAGAATTGAGTCACTATTAAAAAATAGCAAATGTCCTACTAGTCTCATCCACATGGTTTTTACCAAGCTTAAACTAGACAAGGATTGTTTAAAAGATCCGCATAATCAACAAAATAAAAAATTTGTTAGGTTTCGTTTTATCAAATCACTATCGAATAAAATAAGTAAATTTTTGAAAAACACTAAAAATTAACTCTAGTATTTTACAATTCAGTAAAAGAGAATTCTATTTACACCACATAAAAGGATAAGGTTAATAAATTAGTTCAGTCGAACTTAGGTTACAAAATACCTTGTGAATGTGACAAGTGTTATATAGAACAAACGGAACAGAAACTCTAAAAAAATTGAATAGATTAACATAGAAATGATGGTAAACCTACTAATGCACAAAAAATGAATACTACCGCGTTAGCTGAACATCGCTAAAAAAGGACACAATTTTAAATTTGACCCAGCAACTATTCTAGATATAAAAGACAATTGGTGCAAAATAAATGTAAGTGGAATGTACCACATAGCCAATAACAGTACAATTATTTGAAGAACAGACACAAATAATTTAAATATCATTTACAACGAAATATTCAAGTTTAATTGTCGTCAATAGAACACAGTAATATAAAGGGCATTAGAATAGTGAGGATACCTAGATAATTAAACACTAGTCTAAATTGAATCAGTAAATTAAAAAAAATATCTAAGAAGAATATATATTGTACGTTTATTTCTTAGATTGCTATCTATAATCTCACCATAAAAGAAAATTCTAATTAGAAAGATTAATAACAAAATATGAGCTTTGGTAATATCTCGAACAAATGTACTAATCTATACATTAATATACATGGATCCTCCATTGATTTTTAATATAAATATGTGTTTTTACTATAAATCATCACTTGTTATTTTTTTTTTAGAATTATTTTCTAACAAATTTCTGCTTATTTTTATTTCGAAAGCCTTGAATTATGATACACTCTTATATACCATTGCAAAAGACAGTGCTTTTCGGGTTATCTAAAAGCAATTGATTAATCTGTATAAATATTAATTTGTTATCAATAATATTGTGGCATTTACCCCAGCAAAAACCTCATGCGATGAGACAAACATACTTCCAATAGAAAGAAAGCTCAGCTTTGTACTTCTGGCTATTATAAATAATAGCAACTTTTGTGTATTTATAGATAATGTATAAAACGGAACGTTACATCTATAAATAAATATTCTTTTGTCATTCTTATACTAGCCTGCCTTTTTAAACGATAGAACAGAAAGTAATTAAAACAAATATTTGAATGTGTTCTATAAAAATAATTATTTTTCTTCCTATTACCGATCAATAAATATTAAAATATTATTTATTAAACAAATTTATTTTTTCCTTACAATTCTTCAAGAACTGCATCGCTATGATTCAATAACCTTTGACCAAGATAAAAATCGATATATACAGAAAATACTGAACCAGTTACGTACAGGATGCATTCTATTTTGTCTCCTAGAGTTTTTAATAATACCGAAAATTGAAGAATCTAAAAGAAAAGATAAAAGTATAATTTAATAGCAAAATTCATTTCTTCGATATTTTTAAACGTTTGTCAAACACAATACACATAATTCTCTCTATAATAATACTTTTATATTAAAAAGAAATAGAAATAGTATAAATAGCAGAAATTGTACCAGCTAATATCTTAAAAAACGTTTGTTTACAAAGAAGTATAACAGCACAAGTAATAAAACATAATAATCTCTACGTAAGCAACATAGTCTAAAAATCGTCTTTTTTATAACTCAAAGCGTATATAGTAAAACACAAAACAAATTTTATAATAATCTATTAAAATGATATTTATCATTTTTCATTAAAATAAAAGTCAAACAAGACATAAAAACAAAACATAAAAATACGCTTCCATTTCTAGCGTATTTGACTTACACATAAAAAGTTAAACATGAAAAGAATCATTGAGAGAAGAATTATAATTAAATAGACAAAATTTGTAACGTATTTAATCATCTCAACGTATCTTAAACATAAAAAAATTATTAAATTTTAACAAAATATAGTGAAGAATTAGGAGATTTATTTTCCACTTACTCAAGAGATATTCTATGACGATTTACAATGTCGCTTATCCAATTGTATTCTTCCGTTAGTGTATTGAAATATATAGTTTTTTTCCCGATTTGCCGCTCTCTTTCAAATGGTTGACGAATTTTTAATCTATTTATGAGAAATAGCACAGTAAAAAAATTGATTTGAAAATTTATATTACGCAACCTAATAAAAACTTACTGTCCTACAAGAAACGTACTTGATAATGCTACATTGGCAGCAAGCGTGCTGTATGAAAACCAAAAATGTTGAAAGACTAAGACTGCCAACTACTGTTACTATTACAACACCTATTGTTTGATAAAAAAGTAAGCTATAATATAGCATCCTAGCGCTACCAATATTATTTTCAATTAAAGGCAATGTTAATTGGCTCTCCTTTAATTTGCCAATAAAATATAAAAAAACATTGAAAATTGATGGAGATATGATTAAAAAGCAGTTAATATAAAAAAAAACTGTAAAAAGTAAAGAAAATATTTATTACAGAAATATATGAACCAAATACTATTCGCCAATAATTACTCAAACTTACACATTAAAGCATATACAATAGCTTTGCTTTGAACAGTATACTTTTCAAAAATATTAAGTTCTTGAAGATTGGAAAATTTCTTGTGATCAAGTTTAAAACGAGCAATAAGTAATTGAATCTTGAAATTAGAAAGAAACTTTTTGTATATAAAATATTCCTAAGCAAAAGCAAGGAATATAATTATATATTAAAAATCTACTAACTGTTACGAAGCGAAAATAAGTAATAACATAAACAGAAATAAAAATAAGACCGGATGTTACTCTTTGAATCATTTGAATAGTTGATTGCCCGATCAATTTAGTTGTAAAAAGCTTATACAGCTGCATGAATAAACAATTTATATAATAATTCTAAGCAACAAAATATCCCAACAATATTATAATTAATAACACTGATAGAAGAAACATTGGTATTTAATTCAAATGTAATTAGTAAAAATGAAATGATTTTGAGACAAAACAGTCACTGCTTAATAACAAATAATATTGAAATAAAGTTGCATTTAAGACAATGAAAATTACGATCACCATTTGAAAAAAAATTGGTAGTGTGTAGATAACTACGACGGAACAAAACAACAACTGATCCCTAGAGTTTCGGTTAGGACGTTGATTCGTCAAAAACTGAAATAAATGATTTGAAAAAAGAAAGTGATTTTTCGCGAGATCTCGATTTTTCGAAGACATGGTAAAGTATCTTACGAAATCCTCCAGCCAACTGAACGAAATACTACCATCTACTTCCACTTAATTAATTCAAATTGCTATCTATTACAAATAATATAAAATTGACACAATAAGTGCAATAATTGAAATGCTATAAATTAATCAATACTATAATCAGTAAAAACTTCCTTCTATTTAATAGCTATGCTATGTACACTATTTTCTATTGAGACATACTTGCTTGCATGTATTGAAACATATGGTGGTTCACATAATTAAACGAGGGGAAAAAATACTATTTACTTTTAATATCTATGGACATGCGCAGAAGGGTTGCTTGATTGCAATCTTGGTCAGTTGCAATTCAGCAGCCGTGCAGGACACTAGCTTTAAAAAAAGAGAATCATTTCCTATGGCAGTTAGAGAAAATATTTCTACAAATTTTTTCTAATTTCGTGATGGATCTTGTTGAGAATACAACAACAAGAAACTCTTATATTAAATCTCACCTTTAAAGAATATTCTAATTAGAAAGATTATTAAAAATATAAACTTGTTAATAAGTGAAACACACATGTTCTAGTTAACACATTATTATAGTGGGATGTTGCATTAGTTTCTAATATAAGTAAGTATTATAACCATAAATAGTCGTTAGCTATTTTTATATAGAATTTTCGTTACAAATTTTTCCTTATTGTTTTTTTGAAAGCCTTGAATTATGGTACACTCTCTCTCTCTCTCTAAAAAGAATTTAAATTATTTAGAAAACAATAATTTTAGGGTCAATAATATTTTATCACTTACTCTATCAAAAATTCTGTAGGATGTTACAAAAATATTTCCAATTGATAGAATACACGGCTATCCACTTCAAACTATCATAAATAATTGCAATTTTGTTGTATCTACTTATAGCGTATAAAACGGTACTATTTCTAGTTTCTATTATTACAATTCTATTTTTTCTTTTACACTTAATAATAATACCAAAAAATCAAGAATCTAAAAGAAAAGAGGTCCTGGACGTCCAAACATTTTTATCGATTTTTTTAAAAGTATATATGACAAAATACACATATGATTCTTTAATAACACACGGTTTTATAAAATCATAATACTTGTGCTAGCCTACTTTTTAAATTTTTCTTATTTCATACTAATTATATAGAACGACTAATGAAATTTTAACAATCTCTATGTATAATACAAGTCTAAGTCTTATTGCACTGTTTTTTAATATTGTTTCACAACGATATTGAATGAACCAAATGTATAATAAAAGAATAGAAATAGGTTTATCTTAACTCTTGCAAAAAAATAATCAATAGGTATAATTAGTTGCAATGTATTAATATTCCATTGATATAATAAAAAAAACATTTATCATTGAAATAAAAATTAAATAAAATAAAGATATAGATAACACATAAAATCTAACTGCTATTCGGAGCAGTTTTCTTACACATAAAAAGTTTAAATTGGTGATATCATTGCGAAAAAAATTACATTTAAATATTTACCATTTGAAAAGTATCTGAACACTTTAAAGTAGCTTAAAAACGGATTATTCCATTTTATAATAATCACATAAAGAAATATTACTTCTAATTTCGCACTTACTCAATAGATATTTTATAACAATGTACAATGTCGCTTATCCAAATGTATGTAGTAGGCCAGTCAATAAGAGGCAAATGAGAAACTTTTAGGTGTACTAATGGTATAATTTAATACAATGGTAATTCGACGTCGCTGAATCGAATGGTGCTTTTTTTTTTTGCACTACAATTTTACATTTGCGAGAAAAAGGGTAAAAAGGGTAAAAAATGGCTGTATTTTAGAATCTAGGCATTTAATCGAAAAAAGTTTTATACAAAAGTTGTGCAGAATTAAAAAATACATAAAAAATGTTCTAAGGTGTATCTTCGTATTTGCAAAAATAAGCGAGAAAATATAATCGGCCACCGGTGGTTCACGCCGTCAGACAGAGCAAACTAGGTGTGGACCACCGGTGGTTCATGCCGCCAGATGAATGCAGTGCCCATGAACCACCGGTGGTTCACGCCGGGTAGAACGTGTTAATATCGGTGAGTCTGTTTAATCGATGTTCGGCGGAATGAGGTTGCGTGGTATCATGATATCTCACTATTTTAATAAGAACAAAATTTATTGATTAGATTATTTTACTAAGAAATTATTTAAGAAGTTTTTCTTTAGATCTACCGATGATGTTAAAGGTAACGATTCAAAAAGATTTTTTTTTTGAGTCACAACTAATACGATGCTTTTGTCGTTTGTAAATATTAGAAAATTTATTCTGGTCATACGATTTTAAATTGTTTTTTTATTAATGTTAGAGTACAGTTGTGTTTGTTGATTCAATCTTGAAAATACCATTGTTCGTTTCGCAACTAGCAGCTAGTTGCATTTTTGAAGTTTTACCTCTTTTGGCGTATTTTGTAAACTGAAACTAGATGCGACCGAAAAGTCGACACCACGAAGTTGTCGATATTTACGCGATGCGCGGGCGAAGCGATTTCAGTTTTTTTTCTCTCAAGCGGTTACCCATCCAAGTTCTAATCGTACTCGATCGAGCAGGAACTAGTGCTGTCACCGCGCCATGTCCATTGACGCATAAAGTAATTTGATATTACTCCCTTATACTTAATATAGACTGATATCTATATTTTGATATTTTTGACCAGGATTCGTATAAATTTAAATTTCTGTTAAAGTTGTCGAGATGCCTGAAACGAATGTAGAGAAATGTAAAGAATATCGTCTTCGTAGGAAGAGGAATAAGAAAAATAAGGAAAACAAAACACAAACTAATGCGGAATGTTGTAGGTTGTATATACTGTGAAGAAAAATAATTGCACAGAATATGAATTGTCTGCGAATGAAATTTTACATATTTCGTCAACTTCTAATTTACTATGCGAACCATAAGTAATTTAAATGTCTCAGCAAAAATTAATATTATTGCTAATTATTTATTTTATATTTGTTTGGTCTTTATTTTGAAGTTATTTACATTTATTTTACATTTATTCCATACTAAAAATAACGTGCATAGCCTGACGAGGATTTCCTTCAGAATTCGTGTGGCACTCAACGTTATAATGATTTATGTACCATTTTTAATGATTATAGATTCTTAGCGTATATTCGAAATACTCGGCTCAATCATTTTAAGAATATTGAGAATATCGAAATGTTGTTATCGCGCCTCTCCACTCTTCAAACCGTTGCTAAGCACGCCCTGCTGAGTCCATCAACAAAGACACTCGTCCTGTTCTTCGACTGGACGCCTATGACGGCACGTTTTAGACAACCAGCGAGAAGAATTTAAAAAGAAACCGACGAACAAAACGATATTTCTTATTTTTATTAAACCCTTCTTCACCCTCACGTATAAATAAATACATTAAATTATACTTATTAATTATACATATATATATATAAACCTTTATCAATTGTATTAAATATCTTTATATTTTATTTTATCATTTTATCATTTTATCGTCTTATTGACAAATTTAGAATATGTATTATATTAACACGCGGTATAGTTTCAGTTATTTGTGATGTTTTTTTTGAAATTATTTTTGAGGTTATTGAGGTTATACTCGTTTTGGTACACTAAAGAAGTATAACTTCTTAGGTGCGTACATAAGTACACACACACGTTTTTTTTATATTACAAACAAACACAGTTTTTTATGATATGGTGAAATTGCTTTTCGACAAATATGCTACTCATATAACTACCTCGGTGTAATATCTTCTTTAAGGATTGCAATGCCGGACTTTAAAATTTGTTAAATATGTAAATTGCTCGATCGGTAACAAGTCCACCTCCGTAGATTCTTATAGGTTAGAATCGATATTTTTGATTAGAATAGGCGCAAATGAAGTTGGTAAATAAATATTTCGCGTGTGTGTATGATGATTATTACGGAATCTTTTATTCATTATATAACTTTATGGGACTTCTAATGTACCCAGACAAAGTTTTAAGTTCTAACGATTGTTTATGCAACCCTTTCTTTTAAGAGTAGATTTAGTGTTAGGTTAATACAATAAATCAATATTGTGTCCGATATTCTTAGAATGATAACACAGATCGCTCTATAGACTCCTTTCTAAGTGTTATGTTTTTAACTGAACACTGTTTTTTTGTAAGCCCAAGTAATTTGTTTCACAAACAATCAATAAGTCCAAAGGCCAAATAATTTCTAAGGTATAAAGAAAAATGCTAAAGTACTTGGAAAAAATAATAAATTTATTCTATTTAAAAATAAACAGGATTATTTGAAGACCTCCTTTTTCTTTTTTCGCACATACTTTTAGAAAGAAATAAATGAGAATAAAAGTAAATATAATAAGGTATATAAGATAAAAAGAAAGAAGGCACAAGACAACATTTTTACCGTAAAATGAGCGATTTTCAATCTGTAAACGTTAAAGATAAAAAGGATAAATAAATTTGGAAATAGTAAATAAAGAACATTTTTGATAAAAACAACAGAACCTCAATTACTTACTTTCTATAGCAAATTTTTCCTTTTTCTAGTGTGTTCATTGGGTCTTTTAACATGTATACTCGAAGTCCTCTTATATAAATATCAAAAAAACATTCCCAATCAACATCAGAAATATCAAAGAAGAAGTTATATTTATCGACGACAGATAACTTGTTCCATAATTTTAAAACATTTTCGTTTCTAAATTCCCAATCACGAGTGTTAAAGAAGCTTATTACATTATAAAAATTTTCCATTTTTCTGTAGATTTCTACCAGTCTGAAAATATATACGGTTAATCTAATGATACTCTTCCCTTTCGATGAATAATAAATCGTTTATATATGATGTTAATATCATCAGACATTACATTGGCTTTTTTCCGCTTAGATATGCTAAGGAATCCAATATAACTGCTGGTATCCAGTGCAAAAATATTGTCCAAATAAAATTGACGTAATAATTTCGATTTAGACTTAACGAGTAATACCATAAAACTCGTTCCGATGGATAGAGAACCCCATTATTTTTAATTTTCTCGGCCAAATCAAACAAACTTATTCGATTTTGAACGGAAGAAACCAAATTATATACTGAAATCTCTTGTTCAACGGGCTTAGACTTGTTGATTCCGTTTGAGATAGGAATATTCTGTGGCATGGATCTGCGAACAAAATTTGTTCTTAATCGTTGCAAATGTTATATCAATAATTGAAATGAAAGTTAATTATATAAATTTGTGAAAAATTTCGAAAAAATCACCGTTTTTGTGCGACGTCCCATGCTGCAACGATAGTATTGTTGATAACATAGTCAGCAGGAACAATATCTGAGGTAACCGTATTATCACAATGCAGTGTATGTAAAACACCCATCATCGCACCATAAGCAACACCTGTCAATCCATACAGATTATTGATCCATCCGGCAATAGGTTCTTTTGCCGTTGAGACTACGATAGATGGCCGAACGATGCAAGTTGAAATTCCATTGGAATATTGCCGTACAGTATCTTCACAAATTGCTTTCGTAAATACGTAAGTGTTTGGCCATTCACCAAGTAGCCTGCAAAATAAATCAATATGTTGATAGAATAAGCTTCAAAGAAATGGAATAGTTTTCTATATTCATTACTTCGGAGTAATTAAATCCAATTGATCTTCGTTCAAAATTTCCGTTAATTTAATAATGTCGTCCGTATTTATAGGTGGTTTGTATAATTTTTCTTCAATTTTTTTATGTACACATTGCGAGTATGCCGTTGATACATAAATGAATGCCTAAACGAAGAATTTATTATAAAATTGCAATCATTTGTGTCTCAAGTAATTCTTATGTTCATTTAAATGGATTACTTAAAAATTATATTCAAACATACGTTATTAAAAAGTAAATCGTTTAAATAGAAAAACGTACCTTTAAATTATTCATCTCCTGCGCGAGCAAAAGAAGATCTCTCGTTCCTCTAATATTTGTATTAACTATATAACGAATGTTATCCATGAAACGCACGGATGCTGCACTGTGAAAAATCAAGTCGGTATCTTTAATGAGTTCGCGATCTTTCTCTGACAATCCTATATTCAATTCACCCATGTCACCTTCTATCAAAACAATTTTCTTTTCGACATCTTTTTGTTCTCTCTTCAATCTATCAAAAATCTGAAAAGCGAAATATATTTTTATTATTATTATATATATATTTTTATTATATATTAATTAAACGTTAAACTTTCTCTTTAAGTCTTTTTTACAACTGGTGGTACACGCTGACGTGTTTTTTTTAAACATCAAAATATCAAATGACTGAAATTAAAAGATGAGCAAAAGTGGCTCAGAACGAAACGTTTCAAGTGATTTTTTTCTATATCACAAATAATAGTACAGGGTTTATAATTTTACTCACGGTATCATTGAAATACTCTTGGAATCGAATTTGCGAACTCATCTTCTTCTTTTCTCTTATTAGTAAATAAATAGTTTTAATTTCAGGACAGCATCTACGAATTATAGAAATGCATTTATTGAAACAATTTTAACAGAAAATTCTTAATATAATAAAAATTCTTATAATAATAAAAAACATTATTTCCTAACCTTACGTTTAAAAGAGAAGAGGAAAATAGACAAATGAAGAAAAAAAGAGTAAATATTACGAAATAAAAATGAGTAAGAGGGAACGCAAAAAGATTTATTAATAGTATGGGTAAATTAGTTAAAGATGTAGCTTATCGACAAATATTTAAGGCTCTTAATGTAATTATGTAAATATTTAATATATATTTTTTACATTGCCATCTCAAATATAATACATTGAGTATTCATAGTTTACCACGTATAATGAATGTATAAGTTTAATTGAGAATGAAAAGATGTAAAAGATTTTTACCTCAAAAGCTTTTCCATTATAAGTCTTCCTACAAATCCTAAACCTCCTGTTATCAGGATTTTTTTTCCAGAATAAAATTTAGCAATATCACCTCGTTGATTATAATAATTTGATTCTTGTACCATAGGAAACAATTCCTCTTGATAAGTTTGGCCGTTTAGTGACGACATTTTTAAGATTCTTTTGTATTGAAACAAAAATATTACGTACAGGTAACAAGAGAATTTTCAATAATAAATAATTATCAATGTTATTCTAATTTAGTAAATTTTATTTATTTTAGTAAATAAATATTTATAAATAATGAAAACAGAAGCACTTGATAATGATTAGGTTCAGATTTCTGAAAAATTTGATTCAAACAAATAAACAAATAGATAAACATGAAAGAAATAACTGTATTTATAATAGAATAATAACTTTTTGTAAAATATAAAAATTGAAAAATAACGTGTAACAGAAACATGTCGTTTAATATTTCCAAAACCTGAGATAACTTACATTATTAATATCTTTTATGATATATTATTCAATAAATTCTCACACGTTGTAAACTATCCGTTGGAATGTTAATTAAGAAATAATCTCAAATTTGTGAACTTAATTGATTAAAATTTTTATCTTTTTTTCATTAAAATTTTACACATTTATCATTTGTATTTTTCACAGATATTGAAAGGGTATAAAGGGTTGAAAAGAAAATACTTACTTATATATCTCACTAACTACTTCCAATTCAAAAAATATATTAAAATATAAAAATTTCTATGATTTTTAATTACTAAAAATAAAAACTCTTAGAAACTTTCAATCTTATGAGGTACTAAGTATGTTGTTAATAAGACTTAAAGCGCGGATTCTCAGAAAACTCTTGATAAGAAAATCTCCCGACCTACTCTCTATGGAGAAACTTCATTCAGCTGTGGTTAAATATCGACTGTTGAATGCTGGTTAGGTAATCACTACTCAATTAATTAAATAGTGTTTACCATAGCAATGTTTGTTCGCAATAACATGGTCTATTGTGTTAATTTATTTATTATCATATCGCATAGGAATTCTTTAACATAAATAAATAATAAGTATTTTTTGCGAACAGGAAGTAAACACTTTTGAAGCGTAGCCTACGTTACTAATTATTCGTGTTTCATTGTCATTTTTTGTTATTATACTATATTTATTTGACATTGGTTAACATTGGTACAAGGTTTTAAGAAAGCTTTTAATAAATAAGCTATTAAGATAAAGATGTTTCATATGAGCCATTTATTTTAATAGTGGCGTAGGTCCATTTATATTCGAATTGAGATATTGAAGGGTTTGCGTTGAATTCAATTTAAAAATTTGTGTAACACAGATAACATAGTAGAATAATGTTTTTGGATTTCTAAAGTAATTTATCATTCCAATTATTTATGAAATAATATATTTTTAATGGCTACAATTGGACTTATCCCACTTTCAAAATTAATGAAATGACGTTTTCAATTCCTAAGAAAGCACAAGTCCATAGGAGAAGGAAATTTTTCTAGAAATAAAAATAAATGTATACACTTTTTTGTTATAAAATCAACAAAATATTCAACTACTATTCATTGTTAAATAATATTTACATTAAAATTAATATTGTTTTATTGATTATTACTAGCAAAGCTCGCGCATTTTTGAAAAAATGGTGTTGCGGTTTATTTTATGTTATCTTGACTTTTTTTTTTCACTGCAGAAATCTCTAATAAATAACATCTGTAAAAAAAAATTTTATATGTTATATAAACGTTTGTACTACAAAAAACTAAGCTTAATGCTCTGGAATATGTTTTATTAAATGTTGATAAGCTAAATGCTTCCTTTCTAATTTCTATCTTTTCTCAAAAAAAGCTCTTCCGCAATAAAATTGATCAACACGATTAGGATTTGTTCGTTGAAACAAATTCCTCGACTTGATTCGAAGTTCAACGGAAACATACTGCGCGAGAAAAATACGCTTTTTTCTGTGGACACATGCTATTCTGTTTTTATATCAAACTCACTGCATATTGATAATTCAACTGTTACTTTGATCTCATTATATAAACAAATAAAAAAGCTGGGATATCAAACAATTTTAGTTGCATAATATCTTCCATATCCATTTGAAACTCTCACAATGGGACTTCTCCCACTTTAAAAATAATTTTGTTAATCACTTAATTAATCAACAAATTTTCATCTTATAAAATCTTAATGATTTTAAATTATATAGTAACAAGTTGCTTCAAAATAAAAAGATCATGTAAAAATGTGAATATTAACCTTGCTAACTTGATTTTTTTGGAAAATGGACTTACGCCACTTTCAAAATAAACGGCTCATATATTTTTTATTCCCGAATAAACTTATACATTCATTATATCCGTCTATATTATAAATTCTTAAGAAATTTGATTACAATTTAAAATATATGTATCGAATATTCATATAAATACATTCGCTAAAAAACCTCACTCTCCCCCCATCACCCACCAATCACCTAGCCAAGGCTCATTCATGACCTTCAACTGTCGAGCCCCCTCATCAATCTTCTACGTCATCCCTTTCTCCTCTACCACCGCAAAGTGATGGTATCCTCTCTCCCCAAGTCCCTGGCCAACGAAAGTGTTCTTCCTCTTCCCGCGAGTTCATTATAAATTCTTAAGAAATTTAATTACAAAGTAAAAAATATGTATCGCATATTCATATAAATACATTCATTAAAAAACGTCACTCTCTCCCCCCTTCTCTCACCAATCACCTAACCAAGGCTAATTCATGACCTTCAAYAGTCGAGCCACTCATCAATCTTCTACGTAATCCCTTTCTCCTCTACCTCCGCAAAGTGATGGTATCCCCTCTCCCCAAGTCTCTGGCCAACGAAAGTGTTCTTTCTTCCCGCGAGTCCTTTGCTTACGAAGATATTAGGTTGGTGCGTATGAAATGTCAGATTTTAATTATTAATTAATTAATTATATAATATATATAAATCTCGTGTCACGATGTGCCTCCACGATTGACTCCTAAACTACTGAACCGATTTTAATCAAATTTGGACACAGTGTACAGCTTGATCAAACTTAAGACATAGGATAGTTTTTATCTCAATTTATAGTCGCAATATTTTTTTATTGCAAATTATTTGTTAATTAGACCTGTTAGTTCCATAAGATTCTAACAGGAAATTTATCGCTTCAAATTTTCTTTGTGATTGAATTGCCGTGGTAAAGCAGTTGAATGTTACTCTTGGCAACAGGGAGTAACAAGACATAGAGACGAACTAAAAAAAAAAGAACAAGGAGAATAGAAAAAGGCACGCGTGTGAGTTACCTAGCAAAAATTAAATATATAAGAAATATAATTATTAGAAGGTTAAATATAAGTATAACGAGGAAGAAGGAACATTAATGCAGAACTGGCTACGCTTTGCTGTGGTTAAGGTTTACGTTAATTCATATTATAGTAAACTATTTAATACAGTGAAATGAATATAAGTATAATTATAAGAAGGTTAGATATAAGTGTAACGAGGGAGAAAAAAGAGATCAAAAAGATCACCGGAAATATTCTTGAAGCAACAATTTTGACTGGAAAATGTAAGGGAGAAGTGATCCTGTTGCCACGTATTCCAATGATACAGTCAGAATCTACGATACCCTTCAGAAGGCTACAGTTTCCCATTCGTTTAGCTTTCGCCATATCTATAAATAAGTCTCAAGGTCAAACAATGCCCATTTGCGGTTTAGATTTGGAAAATCCATGTTTTTCCCATGGCCAACTATATGTTGCCTGCTCACGTGGGGGAAAACCATTGAATCTATTTGATTTAGTTAGAGACAGGTTAACCAAGAATATTGTGCACCAATTAGTGCTGAATTAAATTTAAATTAACAAAATCCCTAGCCCGACAGTTTTTCACTACCTACTTCATATATAAAATTAAATGTAAAATGTTAACAACTAAATATTTTTTAACTTACTCATTTATTACAAACTTAAATGTAAGATTAATAAAATCTAAAATTCTACATTTTATATTGATTTGTGCTTAATATCATCTCTACGAAAATTTTTATCAATAATTTTTAAATTTTTACTTTAAGTTCAAATCTCAATCCCGTGGATTTTTATACCGGCTTTATTGTTTTCGTCTTTATATTCATAAATATTCATTTCACTGTATTAAATAGTTTACTATAATACGAATTAACGTAAACCTTTGCCACAGCAACGCGTGGCCGGGATTGCTAGTGTGAATATATAAAACTTTGTATTTTTTTTCAAAATCTGTTTACTTAATCAAAATAAACTCTATTTGCTTAAATACACTTTTCCCAACGAGATTATAATACACAGATGCCTGTCTTAATGAAATTCTTATCTTTAGAATTAATAAACTCTGATATGGACTTTTTCAGACTGTCTATTTTTATAGACTGTTTAGCACGTAAAAACTGTTATAAATGTTTAAGAAAATAAAAATTAGTTATCAAAAGTTCCGATGAATAAAATAGGTGCGGCAAAATTTCATATTTTAATTTATTTAAAAAAATCGGGCTAATAGTGATGAAAATACGTTTAATTGATCAAGCTTATTTTGCTTGGTTAATTAATGCTGTATCCACTTAACCATTTTTTTCATCTTGTTAATTTCAGAAAGATGTCGCAATATTGTTTTGTATGGTCAATTATCATTCTAGAGGCAAGTTCCCTTATAGATAAAGTTGGATTTGTTTCCATCAATGTTTTCAGAGCATCATTTTTTACAGACGTCTTCTTTTAAAGGGAAAACTCAGGAGACCGAAGTTTTTGAAACCAAAGATGCACTTTTCGATCGTTACCAGTATTCTCCCCAAACGCCTGGTTTATATTACGTGCAAATTTTGCAGCATTTTTATCAAGCTTATACTCATATATAAAAATTACACGAATATCGGTTGAATTCAGACCCTCACAAAATTAAAAAAAAATTAAAAAATTTAACACTTTTGAGAAAATCTGTTTTGTTAAAATGTGACTTTGGCATTGGATAGTACGACCATAAAAAAAATTATGCCAAAAACAAAAAAATAACGAAAACAGGGGGAAAAACATTTACATGTATAGAAAATCCGACATTTCTTATGCACCAACTTAATATTTTCGCAGGCAACGTAGAACGTTCCTCCTAGCTAATCGCGAAAGTTTTCGACTTTTCCCGATTGTGTATGTGTGAATATTGCGATAGTTAATATTAAATCATGGCAATATTCCTTCAATTTTTTGTTCTTTTGTTAAGCTACGAAACAAAACTTTTAGCAAAATTGAAAGGGGTTACCTAAAAAAATGGCAAGCCTGTCGGGAAATTATTCTTATATTTTATCGCTAAAGCTCGAAAGCCATTAATGTGCACATTACCTAGCTAATCTGGAAATTACTTGATTTAACGTTACCGTGCGGAATCAAGAGTTTTTCGTATTTTACGTAGGTAATGCACACATTAACCGTATTCAAATAAAAAAACTCTAAATGCGTTTTTGTCGAAAGTATGTTTGGCAAGTCGGTGACTACTATAATTGAATAACCACTTGATGGATTTTGATGAAATTTCTACTGCTTATTAATAGCACTAAAAACTAGTCTTTCCTCGAAGGATTTTCGTTTATGTGGAACATTTCGATTTTTTAACAATATTTTTTAACAAAAGACTCATGATTTTTTGTGTCGAAAATCGAAAAAAAGATGCTAAAAGCAGCAATTTTGTTAATTTAAAAAATAAATAAAAAGCTTCAATAACGAACAAGATTTTTTATTAAACTAATGATTTATATTTTTTTTATTTTCTTCTAGATGATCCGGTAAGATGTTCTGATGGTAACTACAAAGCATTACTTGCAAAACGGTGTCTACCAAAAAGATTGCGATATTTTTATAAATAATTAATATTTTTTTTTTAAATTTTGTAGAAGTTAAGTTGAAAAATAATATAAAAACTCTGTGTAATCAGATTAATAAAACAAACTTAATTATTACAAAAAAGAAATTATTCATAATTCTTCTTTTTTTACGTCTCTTACTATATTTCCCCCTTAAGCGGGCTGCAACAAGACTTTATGTTTTACAAATAGAGCAATCACAGATATTCATGAACGTTCATGAACTTTGAAAAAATGTATCGAATGTATCATTACCAGGTGGTGCTCGGAAATTTCTTCTAAAAGTTTCGATTATTAGTCGATTGTCACTTATTACACGAGTGTACGAACGTATTGCCTATCGCCAGGCGCTTAATAATGTAAGCGTAATTATATTTTTGAAGTTATACTTTTTTTGGCGCGTTTTGTAAACTAAAGGTAAATGCGACCGAAAAATCGACACCACGATATTGTCGATATTTACGATGCTGGGGCAAAGTAATTTAAAATTTTTCTTCTCAAGCGTTCACCCATCCAAGTTCTAATTGTACTCAAGCGCTGCTTAACTATATATGATACTTGTGCTGTCATCGCGCTATGGCCATTGACGCATGGAGTAATTTGATAACTCCCTTATATTTAGTGTGGACTGATATCTATATTTTGATATTTTTGACCAGGATCAGTATATATTTAAATTTCTGTCAAAGTTTTCGAGATGCCTTAAACCAATGCAGAGAAATGTACAAAATATCATCTTCGTAGGAAGAAGAGTAAGGAAAATAAGGAAAACAAAACGCAAACTAATGCGGAACGTTGTAGGATGCGAAGAAAAATGATTGCACTAGGACATGAATTGTCTGCGAATAAAATTTTATGTATTCCGTCAACTTCTAATTTACTTTGCGATCCATCGGATCAGCCTGTGATTACCAGTACAAATATAAATAATTTAAATTTCACAGCAAATACTAATATTATTGCTAATTATTTATTCTATTTGTTTGGTCTTTATTTTTTGAAGTTATTTTTTGAAGTTATTTACATTTATTTTACATATATTCAATACTAAAAATAACGAGCGTAGCCAGACGAGGATTTTCTTCAGAATTCGTGTGGCACTCAACGTGATTACGATTTATGTACCATTTGTAAAGATTTTAGATTCTGAGCGTATATTCGAAATACACGGCTCAATCTTTTTGAGAATATCGAAGTGAGAATATACTTTCTTTGTGTGAATATTATCAATGTCGAAATGTATCGTGCCTCCCCACTCTTCAAACCGTTGCTAAGCACGCCCTGCTGGGTCCATCAACAAAGACACTCGTCCTATTCTTTCACTGGACGCCTACAACGACACGTTTTATACAACCAGCGAAGAATTAACAAAGAAACCGACGAACAAAGCGATACAAGCTAGAAGCGAATTAAGTAAAGTATAAGTATTTCTTATACTTCCATGAACCTGGTGAGCCTTGTTGTTGAATCCGTATGCAACCGAAGCGAACGAGAGGTGAGAAACGTGTTTAATCTTTTGTTACACGCAATTTGTTATTATAATTAATTTATCAACCAGAGCTTTTATGCGAGCGAGAGGTGAGACACGTGGTTAATTTTTGCTTAGACACAACTCCTTATTATATCTAATTTATCAACCAGGGTTTTTATGCCACAATGCTTTTCTCTGATGAGCCAATAAAGTATTATACCTTGTTGTTTTGGCTCAACCAAGGGTTTTATTTCTTATTTCTTATTTTAACTAAACCCACCTTCTTCCTCACGTATAATTATAAACAAATTAAAATATACTTATTAATTAAGGCTTTATCCATTGTATTAAATATCTTTATTTTATTTTATCATTTTATCGTCTTATTGACAAATTTATAGTATGTATTTAATTGGCACGCGGGATAGTTGCAGTTATTTTCTATGCTGATGTTTTTTTTTAAGTTATTTTTTTTTTAAAGTTATTTTTGAGGTTATTGAGGTTATACTCGTTTTGGTACGCTAAAGAAGTATAACTTCTTACGTGCGTACATAAGTACACACACCAGTTTTTATTATTTTATTATAATATCGGTAATTTAATTTTAGTATTAGGATATCCCCATATACGGCACATAACTTCTTTTGTGCTTGCGATGCGTTCTTGCCTTTTCGGAAATAATACAATAAAATATGTCTAAAGTGCACATCTTATTTTTCCATTTTTAAATTGAGATAAACACAAAAAACTAAAGAATTAATTGATATAATTTTCTTACTAAATTAAAGGTAGAAGTCTAAACAGTAAGAAACAAATGTATGTAAGGGGCTTAGTTGCCTACCCAAACTTTTTAGAACGGCTAGACGTGAGCGAAAAAATTTTGTCGAAACGCTCGGACGTAAAAGTGTTTAATAAATCAAAATATTCATGAATATTATATTAATGAATGAACTTTTTGATTGACCTTTTGATAATTAAGTATAATAAATAACATTGTTTACACGATTTTGGTGAGTTTCTTGTTTTTCGAAGTGGAAGCATAAATAATCTAGTTTTGAATTACTGTTACCGTGTTCGTTCAAGGCCTGTCGTATTTTAATCACGTCAGAGCTTCAATGCAGTGCTACCACTCAACACGACGGTTCCCTTTCTCTCTCTCTCTCTCTCATTTTCATGTTCAAGTAAATTGAATAGCTTTGTAGCGAGGGCTGTGAGAAAATAGGAGTAAACTGAGTCTTATTCCTTAACGAATTCGGCCAATCATATGTAATCACGAATTATTACATGAGCCGTTTATTTTGAAAGTGGCTTAACTCCATTTGTCAATTATTTCCAGTTACGCATGGTTACATGTAAGCATTTAAGATTACTTGTATTCCGAGTAAATACGGTAATTCTAGACACATAAGTTTTCAGAATTAGTTAATTAACTGAGCCGTTTATTTTGAAAGTGGCCTAAGTCGATTTACACTTAAATTATTGCTACTTCAGTAGCATATTATAAACACAATATGTATGTTTTAAATTTGGGTATCCACAATTTTCATAATGATAATGTTCACATGTACGTTTGGGATGAAACTATTGCATGAAGAGGTGTCATGTTGTGACTCTTGTTTTTATGAGGCACATAAATGCGATTGTTTCTCGCTTTCTTTTTAGTGTGTTCTAATCGGCGAAGATGTGGAGGAAACTGGGTAGGTAATAAACAACTGATACACACATAATAAAGCTAGTAACCAAAATAATATTATATTTATTTATTCCTTTAAACCACCTTACACGTTAACGATATCATTATCTTGTTTTTCAAGACCTTCCGTACTCAAGTTCCAGGGTTCAGTTTCTGAGTTCATATTCGACTTTTTCGTCAAAGGATCACGGCGTGCCCTTTCGGTCCCTTATCAACTGAGCATTGAGAGAGTAAGGGTTTTATCTGACTGATTTTATAATTTCTTAATCAGCCTTTTTATATTACTAATGCCGGTGCGACTGTTGAATCAATTTTTCGGTGAATAGGGTGACGTTGTATCATTCTTTTATTGAAAACAAATTTTATTGATTAGATATAATAATTTTATTAACGGAATACGAGAGGCTCAGATTTCTTTCTTACTTTGCAGCTTTATCGTAGTCAATCAGACTGTACATTGTACTATTTAAAGAAACAAGATTTCTAATCTTATGCGAAAAAATGGGGGTAGAAATTTCACAACAAATTCCTATATTCACTTATTTTTTTTTTCTTTCGTAAAATTGTACGGTGTAATATATTACCGTAATAACTCGGTATTATTACGCAAATAATATAATTAATATCTATAAATAATCAAAATTTAATATCGTGCCTGTGTGGAACGATATATTTTTTAAGATGATATTCGTCGTACAGACATATAAATTTAAATAAATAAATAAAATATATATATAATTATAATAAATAATAAATAATAAAAGAAGCATAAATTTTCTGATATCAATACAAAAATCTGATAATCAATTAAAACTCTTGTATGTTTTTTTTTTTTTTATG